CCTAAGATACTACAGGATGCCTGGCCTAGGCCTCAGTATGTGGCAGGTGCTGGGGGCCAAGAGGCCTAAGATACTACAGGATGCCTGGCCTAGGCCTCAGTATGTGGCAGGTGCTGGGGGCCCAGAGACCTAAGATACTACAGGATGCCTGGCCTAGGCCTCAGTATGTGGCAGGTGCTGGGGGCCAAGAGGCCTAAGATACTACAGGATGCCTGGCCTAGGCCTCAGTATGTGGCAGGTGCTGGGGGCCCAGAGACCTAAGATACTACAGGATGCCTGGCCTAGGCCTCAGTATGTGGCAGGTGCTGGGGGCCAAGAGGCCTAAGATACTATAGGATGCCTGGCCTAGGCCTCAGTATGTGGCAGGTGCTGGGGGCCAAGAGGCCTAAGATACTATAGGATGCCTGGCCTAGGCCTCAGTATGTGGCAGGTGCTGGGGGCCAAGAGGCCTAAGATACTACAGGATGCCTGGCCTAGGCCTCAGTATGTGGCAGGTGCTGGGGGCCAAGAGGCCTAAGATACTACAGGATGCCTGGCCTAGGCCTCAGTATGTGGCAGGTGCTGGGGGCCCAGAGACCTAAGCTCCTGATGGTGGAGACGTTCCGCTCTATGCTGGCCCAGCTCACATCCTCTAGGTTCACCAGCGGATGATGGTCGACAAGGTCAGAGGTCAGGGCAGGTCGTGTATACCAGGAGGAGGGCCAAAGGTCAGGACGGGCAGCGAACTCGGATTTGAAGGGGCAGGTCAAAGGTCGGTTGTAAGGGCACAATGGCGGCCGCGCATGAGCAAAAGCCCAATCTTGGGGCGCATGTGCGAGGTGCGCGGGAAGACGCGTGGATGGCGCACAGGAGTTGAGACAGCTACCTCACTTCCTGTCCGCCATCCGTCCGCGTGTCTTCCCGCGCATGCGCACTATAGCGTGCTTCCCGAGATTGGGCTCTTTTGCTCATGCGCGGCCGCCATTGTGCCCTTACGTGGGTACACAGATCAACAAGAAGAATGGTGGCTTCAGCAGGAGGAGGGGAGACCGGCTGGAGAAAGCTTTGCTCGGGTCGTGTGCTGCGCTCCGCAGATTACATGGAGTCAGCAATACGAAGGAACCTCCCCATTGGCCAACCGGCTGACGCTGCTGATTGGCTGAGAAGCCGCATGACAATCATCAGGTGAGGTCAGGTGATGTCTAGAGCCGCCAGACTGCCGAGAGCAAGGGAGAGGAACTACAAGTCACAGGGAAGCTGCAATGTAGATCTGTGATAGTACCGGAGCCGGCGCTGCCATATAGGCAGGTCAAGCATCTGTCTGAGGGCGCCGGGGGGGGGGGAA